AAAAAGTAGGAATTATTTTTGCATTAATTTTTAGCTGAAATATTTTGTCTGTTAAATGATGAAAGTTAGGTGGGACCATTTAACAAACGGGCGAATCTTTCTTCCATGAAAACGTACTATAAGCTTAAAGATAAACGAGCAGATTTTGCCTTCTAGAGCAGAATATGGTCATGAAAACAGAGAAACATTCATTCGAGCATCAAGATCATATTTAAGAATATATCCAAAAAGGTTTATATATTCTCATAAGGTAATATGCAATATTATATTGGAATTAATTGTACATTAAAAACCTTAATAACATTTTCATACAAAAAAAGTTTACCAAATCTTGTTCAGTGTTTGAAGTAGGCAAATGTCAAGTGGTTTTTTTCATAGCAAAATGTTAACATGGAGTAAAGGCTTTTTTTAAAGCTATGCTTGTAATAAGAATTTGGAGATAATAATAAGAAGATAAAAAATTAGTTTGAAACAAAATTCTAGTTTCTGATTTAATAAAGTAGGAAGAAGAAAGAAACTTAATAAAAAACTAATTACCCAATTGCAGCAATTCAAGATGCATTATCTAAAAACTGTGCGATTGATTCCCAAGTCTTTCCAGAAATAAGTTATAAAATCCGAACTAGATATTTCGTCCAGCATTAAAGTCCCAAGCAAAGATGTTATTTTGGGTAATATTGGTGAAGAGGTTTCAAAAGCCACTATTATGTAAGAACGAGTTTATGTAAAAAAATTCACCTATACCTATGCTAGAACAAACGACCCTATACTTATTTTGCTTTAAAAAAGTGTTTCCGCACTAAATTTATTCCGTTAGGTTTGAAGCCCTATTGATAGAGTCTCGTTCACCTGGTTAGCAAGATGAGAGAGTTCCAACATTCTTCTTTAAAACACACATTTGCCATTCATCTTTCAGATGTCGTCTTATAGTGAAATATATTCATTACACATTGGAAATAGAAACTATCAATCAATGTGCTTTCTAAGCTTTTTATGAAATAACATCGGAACATGTATGTTTTAAATATAAATAGTTTTTTTTTAATATTGCCACTTGTCATTACGTCCTTAGGAGTCCTTGAATTACTCAGTTGTCCCCAGACATCAAAAGCTAAAATGTTTCTTGAATAATTACAACCTTTCAGTCAGTACTTCTCAAGAATTATTAAGAAACATAAGAGAAAGAAAACGTACCCAATAAATTGCTTAAGTTTGCAAAATTTGGTAATCATCGAATGTTTATGATTTTATTTTGTTGGTACCATCTGAAAAACTGAAAAGTTGGAGTATGGCACGATCAAGTGTTTTCTAATCCGCATTACAACCTGTCGATTATGGTGGTATGTAAGTAACCCTCAGAACTTAGTTGTTTAAGTATAATTTGTCCCTTTGATTTTAGCAGAACTCTCCTTTTTTGATACTTGATCAAAATAAGCTTTTGCTGTGAAAAACAACTAATCGACTAACACAAAAATATTGGGTAATTTACACGCTCAAAGTTATTTTCTTGATCCCATAGAGTTTTCCAACTTGGTTGCGCCTCTCCCTGAAATATGTCTTCCAAGAAGTTATTATTAACCGATCTATCATAAATAAATATGTCCTCTCATCTAGTAATGTTTCCTTTGCGAATAGTTGTTTTCTTGAGATTTCCGTATTCGTTGAATATCATAACGAAGACATATTGCGCTAATCCAAATGAAGCCAAATGAAATCCCTCGTGCCTTTTGGATGGTTCTTTTTGGTTTTGTTTCTCGATTCTCTGTGGCTAAGTTGCATGAAATGAAATGAGGATTTCAACGTTGTGCGTGCATGCTTTCACGAATCTGATAGCAGCTGGACGAGGATATTTATTTCCCGACTTACACAATAAATGGAATTCTTTGCTACTATCAAATGACAGTAATTCCGGTCGCGATAAAACAGGTAATACAATGACAGTCTTTCTGTAACGATAAATGTTCTTAATTAAATTTCCAAATGGCTGCATTCACATTCAAGCTTACCGTTGGTTATTTATCTTTATCAGAGCAATGCAAGAGAAAAAGTTTCGTTTGCTGCTCGAAGCCTACGCTCGTTTATTGCCTACTTTCATTCATAAAAGTTCTTTGAGGCATTTAAGCATTTAATCTTGACTCGGAAAACGCACGCAATTACTATTAATATTACTATCAGAAAATCCATGATTGATGACTGCTAATTTAGGATTAACGATTTAATTTTAGCTTTTGTTAAACTGTTTCATTTATATGGGTGTCAGTTTTACATAGGCAATTATTATTTTATAGATTATACTATCATGTAACTAGAAATGCAAACATTCGCCACACGTTAACAAGATATGCATCACACTTTTTAATAAAGGTCAGCATTATTTTAAACTTTCTTATAATAATAAGAATTATTAAATTAATTTCTTATAATAATAATATTAATTAAAAATTATATTAATTAATTAAAAAAATTATGAAAATTATATTAATTTCTTATAATAATAAATTACTTTCAATAGAAGGATTTATAAGTAGTATATATATATATATATTATAAGTAGATTAAAATATCCAAAAAGCAGCACTAACAGATGGTAGAAGCAGCAAAACTTTAAGGATTACGTTTAAAAGATTAAAAAGATAGAAAACTACCTGTTTGATTAAGCATTATTTTTTGGTCGGTTAGTGTTGGAAATTAGGTATATTGTTTTCGCATTAGTTTGGCTCAGTCAGCTTCTATCTAGAGAAATGTTGAACATATTTCTAGGGTACCTATCTTGAAAAACCCCATGCCATTGTTGTTCTGCATTTTATTAATCCGCACAAAAGAAAACTGACCTCCTCTTTTTAGCACAATTACGTAAGTAATCAGAACTAATTAGAAAGTTACTGGTAGCTGCAATATGAATTGAAACTAGGTACCTATATAGGCTGCAAAAAATGTAATTGTTTTCGAAGCATCTAAATGAGTAAGAAATCCACATCTTACATAAATATGTGGAATCCAAGACGACAAGCTCTACTTAATCAATTCAGTTTTTCATAGTTTTTAAACGAACCATCACTTCCTGAGAACTTGTGTGGATGCTGTTAGAGTAAAATCACATCCCTTTCCGCATAATATGCAGATCAGTAATATGTATTCCGGCCCCTTTTCAGTCAGAAGCAATCGTATTTCAAAATCATTATTCAGAACCAAAGTCAAGAGCATTCAGTACTTCGGCAAAACCATGATATTACAAGGTGATTCAGACATCATTTATAAATCGAATACACTATAGATAAACTCCAAAAAAGAAGGCCGATGCATCCAATTTCCGATCGTTCGACCATCCGATTCTATTGGTCAAACGTTTTATGCATACCGTCCATATATACGCGTTGTTGTTCTTTGACGCTAAATAAACTCAGACTCTCAGAGAACTGGGCACAAGGTTTTCCAGCTTGGAAAATATTGGTCTCATAATGGATATTTTTATTCAACTGCACTCTCTCTACAAAAATTCGCGTTTTCGAAACTAAAGTAAATAGTCATTTGAAACTTTTACCATACTTAGCCGATGCTTAACCCTACAGATCCTGAAAGTTTCATAGACATTGCCCTGAATCCTGATCTTTTCCAACTTAGTAAATATTGGTGTCAAAATGGATGTTTCTACTCTCACCTTTAGAAGTTTATATCTTCCGAACCAACTGAAGTAGCAATTTTTAATTTTCACATTTGTTAGATATTTCACTTTACAGATTTGGAGACTTTGATAGAAATGGCCCTATACATTCTGCTTTTTGCCAGTTTTAGAAATACCGAACTCAAAATTAATGTTTTTCTTAAAAATTTGCGTTTTTCAAAATAATGCGAATAGCGATTTGAAATCATCACCATCTTTAAAAGACTCTACCAAGAATGAAAGTTTTGTTGAAAGACCCGAAAATCCTGATTGTTGTCACCTCAGCAAATACTGGCATCAAAAAACCTTGTAATAAAACACTTATCCACCAAAAGTTACCAGCGAAAATCAGAGTAAAATTTATACACTTGCTAATTTTTTTCAAATTTACACGACATCGCATGTATGTATAAAACATCGAGCGTCGAAGGATCGTGGATCGGATGCTTGAGTAACTCAAGTACCATGCGTACACGTCAAGTTGAGTTTAAGTTTATAACTCAAACAAGATTTATCTAACGCATGCTTAAATTTCCGCTGGTTAGTTTTTGTTCTTTAACATTTTTCCGGTTGCATCCAATATACTTACCTGAAATTAAACACATTCATGTTTTTTAGTAAATTTATATAATAAGATCTAATCATCCAAACCTAGTAATTCTAGTTATTTAAAGAAGCCAAATAAAAGTTTCTTGCAGTAAGATAAATAGTAGCAACTGACCCCCACGAGTATCAGTTATTCAGTACAATTGACCTAAGACCCATCAATTCCGTCTATGTAATAGAGTATCAAATTGTATTTTGAAACATTGCTTGTTTATAATTACATTCCAAAAACTTGATCGTTTACCTACTTCATTGCAAATAATCCGACGTGGTGCTAAAAGGTCTAGGCCCAAACTTGCTAAATCTTTTTCTACAAGGTCTAAAACTTAAATTGAAATTGAATGATAACAACTAAAGTGAATAAGTAAAGTAAAAAAGTCCATTTATGCTCCAGAAACGGTGGATTATTATTATACCCGAAATATTCAGAGTTAGAGGTGTCAGATTTAGATGTAGTTTTTCCTCATAGATTTTGTGCAATGAATGAAAAATTGAGTTACGTTTTTAAAAAAGCCCGTATTTACTTCTCAACAGAATATCAGAACATTCGCAGAAAATGTGTCTCACAGGAAAAATAATTCTTATTATTTTTTTTCTTAACTCTTTTCTCTTGGTTTATCTGTGGTAAAAAATAAATAATGGTCTAGTTAATTAAAGATTTTGTCTTTAGATAAATCAACTCATAGTTCTTCCCAAATTAACTTTATTTGTGAAATTATTTTTAATCAAATTCTCTGTTTCTGGAATTATCCACTGCTTCTTGAGCTCTCGTGCTTTGGAATATTCCGGTTGATTTTTGTTTGCGACTTTATCAAATTATCAGCACATGCATAAGAATAATAACAATGCCGCCCAACGCATGATAATTCTTATTATCGAAGAAACGACAGTCCTAGAGCAGTGCTTAACCGAATGCTGTTTAGTTTGTTTGTTAGTGCCAAAAGCATATTCTTTAGTGTTTCAGTTTACCTAAACAAAATGACATGGATCAAGACAATTAGTGTAAGTTAAATTTTGTTTAGTTCATTCTATTTAAATTTTTAGTTTTATATATTTTGGCCCTTAAATTTTAGTAAGTTTTGTTAAGCAATTATATGTATAACTATTTGTACTTGCATTTGAAGCAATTCATCAGCAATAAAATACAGATTTGAGAAAGTAAAATTATGTCATTGTTTTGCACTATCAGGTCTCCTACAACATCTTCTCCGATTAGCTATAAAACTAGAATATCTTTGAACACTTTCCTATTTGCCAATACTCTATTTATACCGATTGTCTGGCCAATTTAAAGAAATTGTTATCTAAGAAAATAGTATTTATCCGTGGGATTTAGGTTTGACGCAGTCAGCGCCTGTCTATACATTCCCTAAGCCTTACTGTCGTAAATGCAAATCGATATTTCCAATAGGTGTTATTTTTAGTTTAATTATTTTATGTTTAAACACAATTTATTACCCCATGACCGATGTCACAAAATCGTTTATAAATAGCTTTCTTGGCAAATCTTAAAAAATGGATACACGTATAATTTCTAATCTACCTAGTCGCAGACTCTACTAACTCCCTGTTCCACTTCAGTATTAATTTGATTCCACTTAATTAAAGTTTTCATGTCTTTGGGAAATATTTACGTGTCGTAAGTTTTTGACAGCAGCGAGCATAATAAATTATTTCTATTCGTTTTAGCACGAAACTCACGACTTAACTGATCTGAAAGTGCCTGTTTGAAATAATACAGTACAGTATCATGCAAGAACCTCATTTCTGTAGGTTCTCTTAATAACATCGAAAAGTTATTTTATAACAAGATCTAATAGCTGGCAAGTATATGCCTATAAGGAGCGATAACCATTTGAAATAAACGATCAAAGGAACATACATAACTTGGCGAACCGAATTACAGTAATAAATAACATTGTTTCGATTATATACATTATATACAAATGTCCCAAAAAAAATTCAGATCTTTTGAGAAAATATTGACTGAAAAACGCTGAAACATATACCTTTATTGACCTGTTCAACTTTTGGTGATGTCGCTCAAATGGTTGTTTTAAAAATACGAATTGAAACGATCAGCGGAAAAACCGTTTTACAACAACAAACAAACACGTAAACATCCACAACAATTACAATTTTATTAATGACTTTGAGAACACCAAATACGTTTTTTAAGTGAGGCTTATTTGTTTCAGATAGTCCCCAATGTGCTCAATGGTAGACATCGAAATGTTCTACCCACAAAGTCCGCCCGTGTTTAGTCACAGCCCTCCAACCAGTTTTTTGAGTGACTTTGCGTCATTGCACCTTAGTCCTCAGCTACAAAGAGCGGCCAGCTGCCGGCAAATGCAGCATACGTTTACAAAGACCTATTCGTCCATTCATCGTCCATCCACATTTCCAAAGCGTCCTTGTTTAGTGATTCGGCCGATTGATGAACAGTGCAGTTCGGGAGATGAAGATCCGACCAGTCCAACCAAGCTTAAGAAGAAAGTTGTCTTTGCTGATGATAAGGGAATGAGTTTAACCCATGTGCGTGTAATGACGGAACCGTCTAACGTACCGCCTTTATGGAGCGTGAAGTTTCTCGCTGAAGTTACCCAGGGAAATACGACTGAGGCTGAAGCTCATAAGGAGCCGTGGGAAGTAACGTTTCCCCAGCCAGCATCAGACTATGTGGCGTTTAGAAAGAAGCTCGATGAGCTAAAGGTGTCACTAGAAAACGTCATCGTGAAAGACGGTGAAGATCAAATCATCGGCACCGTGAAGGTACAGAACCTCTCCTTCCATAAAGAAGTATTTGTTCGAAGTAGCTGTGATAACTGGAAAACTAATGAAGACTCTTTCTGCAACTACGTCCCAAATAATATTGCAGTTGGCTTAACATACATAGTTTTCGACACCTTTTCCTTCAAAATTAACCTTACACCAAAATCGAGACGATTGGAGTTTTGCGTCTGCTATAAAACCGACGGCAAGGAATACTGGGATAGCAACAATGGATGTAATTATGTCCTTATTAAAAAAACTCCAGCTCCCATTTATAGATCACTGTCCCATAACTCTCTGTTTAATAAAACCGACAAAAAAACTGCAGTTAACAAAATCAAAAGCAGCATAAACTCATGCATGGATATTTCTCGGGCCAAGCTGGACACTTGGTCGCAATTTGCAAGCTGGAACCATTTAGAGAATTCGGCTCCCTACTGGTAACAACGTCAAGAAATCTGATGAAAGATGAATCTGCTCATACATTTCACTAGTAGTAAGTATCTGATGTTTGTTTATTATATGTTATCGTTCTTATAACTTTTCCTACATTGCTATAAAGAGTGATATTTCACTGCTATCTTTGCCTAAATTAAATAATCCATTAAGGCTAATGTCCAGTTTATACTATGTCAATAAGCAAAACTCCTAATCGTTGAAATGTGAATGTTATTCGTTACGATTTGATATATATGTATATATCAGTTATATACCTCATACTTTCAAAATAAAGATGTTTGCATTTATTTTGAAATATTATTGAATATGTTTGCAAATATACATGTTTTGCAGATGTTTGCTAGAAGAAGTTTTTTACATTCGTTCCAACTAATTATATTGCAATTTGCTTTCGGCTCAAAAGCTTTTATTCTTAATTACAACTCATCTCTCATTCTATCATACGTAAGGAAATTATAGATACAATACTGTCGCAAATTAATTTATACATAATAGCAATTAGACAAATAATATTATCCCAGTTCATTGGGATAATTTTTTTTATTGTCCCCAACTATTTTTGACATATTTTCGTTTCGGTATAGTATCGCAGTAATTTGTTAACTAATATAAATGCATTACCAGAAGGTCTGTAGGGACATAATAATGATCATCTTAGTTTAATGCCGAAATGGTGCAAAACGAACACCACAATAAAAATTACTGACACAGCGCTACTGTGATTAACAATATAGATTTTAGTGCAATTCGACTTACACAATAAATTCTCAATCAGTAGTCAAGTCAATAGTAGATTTTGTTAGATGCCATTTTAATAAGCCTTATTTGCGTAATTATTGAAATTCAATCAAGTTTTCTCTTTTACTGGACTAAGTTTGAGATCTTATTGTCTTCTATTTTTCTATCGGATTATGAACCATTTATATTAAGTTAAAATATTAAAAATGATCTGAGGTTCATTGATGAAAAGCGAAAGCATGGCTACAACATTTAAACAGGCACACACATACTCTTAGGAACTCAACTATTTTGCGTGTGTTGATCTTGAAATGTAATATTTTTCTTTCATAGTGTCCAAATGGCTCATGTTTTTAATGGCCCGGAAGCTGATGAATATAAACATCAAAACTACATTTAGCGAGTGGTCCACTGAAAGCAAATATGCCATGGGGAAATATGCCATTTATTTTGCATTTTGTAGCATTTCAAAATGTTGTTCAGTACTTAAAATTGAAATTAATATTTCACTCTTTTTGCACATTTTTGTGTTCCATATTTTCTGATAAATCTGTTTATTTTATCTAGGATCTGGATTCTGCAATAATCATTTTCCATATTTTTTAAATCAGTTTTTCAAGCTTAATTAAGTATTATTTTATTAGTTCAAGTTTTCAACATTTACAGTGTTGCAATTATTAATACATAAATTTAAAAATACATAAACGATTTCATCTCAAAGAATTTTACGGTTTATATCCAGAAGGGAAGTCAAATTACTGAACAAGAATGCGGGATTAAGAGATTGCAAAACTGAAGAAACTGCTAATGGTCCAAAGTATGTTTGCAGTTTTGCGCAATATTTAAATATATTCGTGACATATTTGCTAACAACTGGCACCTCGTTCAAATATTATATTGTTTCAGTGTTCCAATAAGATGAATCTACGCTCCAATTCAATTTAATATCACAGTAAAATTAGTCAGTATGACCACTATTGTTCTCAAGACAAAATTTAAACATTTTCTAGGCAACCAATGACCAGACTTCACATACCCAACACCGTTTTATCAACGTACTAATTGCATTAAATCCATTTTGTCGTCGCTCGAAAATGATTTTTTGTCTTTTATGATACCACTCAAAACCTGAATGCTTGCGAGGGACATTGGTTATAGAGGGAGAATCAGAACTATGGAATGAAACTTCTAGAGATTAAACGGTACAACATATGAATAAATAATCAATGTATGAATATGATATAAGAAACCATATCCGAAAATCGCTGCGTAATTCGCTACGGTCGTATAACTATTTAAGACCGTTACGTGTAAAAATATCATTGCTCGAGAAAAGGTTGCAAATAAATTGATCTTTAAGAGAACTACCACAGCAGAATAATAGTTACTTGTATGGTTGGTAACTATTTGGTTGGCCGTACCTGTATCCTATATCCTATATCCGCGATTTTTACAAGACATACTTACGAAACTTTTTGAAAACATTAAACTTTAAAAAAATTGATGTTGCACCTGAACAATTTTCTGTTGAAGTTGGGCAGTATTTGAACCGTCAGTTTGTAAATATAGCATTCCATCGACCGAGGTGATACGGTTACATGGACCCCTAGGTGAACCGATCTAACACCTTCAGATTTCATTTTGCAATACATCTAAAATGTCTGCTGTACGAAACGCCAGCGGAAACAGACCAAGACCTTATCGACTATTGATATCAGATTTTCTCGTGTCTTTCAAGTGTATTTAAGTTATAGGACGACAGCTTGCAAAATTACTATAAGTGTTATGGGGATCAAGAACGTAAAACATTGAAAATGTATTAAGACTCGAGGAAAGAAATGTTGGCATATTGTAGCCTTAAAGCGTCACATGTTCCTTAAGGAGACATTTCAGGACAATCATTCTTATGCTCAAATGACTTCCATTGTTGAATTGAACCACCCCTAAAAGTTTAATTGTATAGTTATTAATCATCCTGCATAGCAAGTGCAATTTCAGTACCTCTCCCCTTGATGGTTTTAGAAACATTTTGCAGGAACGTAACTTGATAAAAAAAAGTAAAGAACACCCTAGATAACCATGTTAACAGTGTATGTGCTTCTTTCGAACACGAGTGAATCATATTTGTATAAAGAAGTAATTCATTAGGTTTACAGTTTCTGATCAAGACGCATTTTCTAAATACTTACCCGGAACTGGTCTCATAATCACGGACAAGAATTATAACAGTTCATTATTCAGATATGTTTGGGTGTTACGACCATTATCATACTATACTTGAAACGCCTATTTCGACTAGTGGAACCTGTGTAACTTGTTGCGCATATGCATTGATATTATAAAAAATAATTTCTCATTCAGTTTCGGTATGCATTATACATTTATGTAAATCTCATGTCTAATAATAGTTTAAAATTGAATTTATTCAGCTAGTTTGCGTTAAAGGAAAGTAGCCTTAGTCTACGGTCTATTTGATCGATAGGAATTTTTGCAGGAAAGTATAAAACAAATATGAGTTTACTTTTTGATTTGTGCTTGAAGTGGATATGTTTTATTCGAAAATAAAAAACATCCAATCTGCTAAGCGGCATTCAAGTGGAAATTGTGAAAAATGCTTATCCAAAAATCTTAATTTCAATTAAATCCCCGAAGGAATCTGTAATCTATTCTTACCATCCGACTTCGTAATGCCTTTAAGGCATTAAACATTAAAGCAATGTTGTTTGTTAAATTAATAGATTGTCTTTTTTGATTTCAGATATTGCAGTCTACGAAAGCACATAGGTTTTCTAAAAGAGTAAAATGGGATGGAATCGGCGGTGATAGCCGACGAGGAAGCGTACGCCTGCTTAGACAAAGTAAAGAAATGAAATACAGTAGTTTGTCCACCACTAGATCTGTGATAAAACTAAATTATAAAATAATCAAAATACGAAGTATACATATTAATATTCTGTGCGTGCCAAATAAGTGAGTATGTTTTTTTGTCAATGTAGCGAGAGAAGTTTTGATATTTCTGTACAAAGTACCTACTTTGAAAAGACTGATACTTTAGTTGAATAATTTAACGTGAAAAACGCTTATCTGTACAAATATATTTAGTAAGTGGTGCAGCTGATCAAGTCAACTTTTATAAATTTGATTTGGTATTTTGTTTAGTTCTTTAATTTAAGCGTATGTTCTAAGATTCATATTAATCAGGTTTCTTTAGATTGTTACAAATTTTATGAATTGCGTTATGGATGTGGGAAAGAAAACCTTTGGTCTAATAGCATCGTCTTCAAGCGCACATTTCTGTTTTACTATATGTTAATTTTATTAAATTGATTTATTTGTGATGTTTAATTATCACTAATGTTGAAGTAACTAATTTGTTTTCGTTACACCATATATTTCTTTTGGAAATACTAATTAATTCTTTGTTCAATGCCATTGCATAAAGTTGTTTACTTTATTATGGTTGTAGAAAATGCCCCCAATTTTTGTTCAAAAAATCTGAAACAAGTCTTAAAAACTACACAGTAAAAAGTGAGATCAGCAAGTAAAATTAATCTAAGGCAAAATAATTACATTGTGGAAATACGAACAAATGACTTCTATATTATAGAACACACCCTATGACCAAGAAGTCATTTATCCATATATCCGTCACGGCTCTTGCGCAAGTTTTTTTTATCTATTTTATATTATACAAAATTCAATAAGAATTGCTTAAAATATATATTCAGCTGTTCGTGATTTTAATTAATCGACTTTGGGCGAATGTCTGAACAGGCCAAATTGCTCCAACAAATGATGGGGTTTAAGAAAGTATACGTGAAATCAATACAACGGCAGTGCATAAACAAATCAAACATACAGGGCGATTCCAAATTCATGTAAGTCTTTTGGAGCCGTCGGGGGTGTTTACATAGCGCAAACAAAACTGACATACTTGCAAAAACGAAATTGCAAATTTGGCAACAAGGGCTTTGGTATTTGCATTTGCGAACGATATTTTCTAGTAGCATTACGTAAATATTATAACAGAACTGTAAGTCCGTATCTGTAAACAGTTTAGAATCATTCAATATTTGAAAATGTAGCCTTCTTCAATTGGGCGGTCCAACACAATTTTGTAAATACCTATATTTCAATGCGTACACTCATTGTATGGGTTTTACCCATGACTGTTTATTATTAATTAATTAAGACATCAAGTCAGTTTTCATCTTTTACAAATACTTTCATATGTATCTGGTGAAACACTTTTCTGTCAAGGCAAATTTCCGGTTAAGAATGTGGAAAGTCAGTCCTACTTTCTACTACTATACATCAATGTAACCCTTCGTCAACTATTATTGTATATGAAGCTGTTGTCTCAGTTCCACTTCAAGAACAGCCGCCGCGAAGCATTAAAATAACTTTTTGTGACTACCATATTGCTTGTTTTTGTGTGTTGGAAACTCAAAATGATCTTAATCCCATCAACCGATTGACCTCAACCTTAATGAAATCACGTTTTTTTCTCAAGTTCACTGTCAGAATCAGTTTGCATGTAATGAACAACATCATTTTTCAGTTTCTTATTAGAAAAGATGAACTTAATATGTTGTATTACATTTTAAGTTTTTACGATCACAGTTTAAGAACTAAGCACAAAAGACCACGTTGACACGTTTCTCTGATATTCGTCAAAAATGTCTATCTGGATGCAAATTTTTCACCATTGCAGTTCTTTTTATAATAAATATACCTATAGAAACGTATTATTTCCAAAAAGAAAATGTGCGTAAGTATAATTAAGTTTTGCAATTTTTTATTGTAATACTTAGTTATCCTAATAGTCTCCCATACTGTGACAATTGGGCCGCTTTAAGGAAACTGTGGAAAAATTAAGCTTAAATGAAAATACGTATTCCTTTTTCACTCTCCAAGTAAACCCCAATGACTCCTCAATAGAAATGACGGCAATTTTGAATCACTTTGTGTTTTTCATATATTTTTTTATATTTTCAATGTATGTAGATCATGTTTATTGAGGGAAAATTATATGGGGATAAAGTATTCAACTTTTACACAGTTTTACAACTTTTCGAAAATATAGAAATATTATGGGGTTTTTAAAATAATAACTTTCATGGACCTATGCTTCTGACTTGTTAATGTATTGCATCAAGAACAGTCTTTTTATTTTTTAATCATTTCCCTTGAATCAATTTTTAAAACTTACGACTAATTCAATTTGCGAATATTTAATTTGGTAAAATTTGCATAAAATGGAATAAAAATAGCGTAAGCTGGAGTAAAATATTTCACTTACAAATTGCTTATTTATCAAGAAGTGAGAGTAGACAAATTTTCAATTGTAACATCACGCAATGCGGATCGAATAAAGACTAAATATTCAAAATAGATCTTCTATAAGCAAAGTATTGGACCAAAGGTTACATGAACATTCCTGAATCAATATTGTTCTTAAGACATGTTGCTACAATATTCCTAATACTCATAATTTAGGCAATTTTGAAGACAAGCGCAATATTCTTTCTTGCCATTAATTGTAAATACTAAGGCCAAGGAATATTTTAAAAAATTGCTTACAGCTTCGACATACCTATACACAAAGCTGCAATGTCCCAACAATAGGATGTCCCTGAAAAGGAAAAATATGAGATTGTGTTTTCCCAATATAAAATTATAGTGAGAAAAAATAAATTCAGCTCTCTATTAATTAATGATTAAAAATATTGTACTAAACATGTCTTATGGTTTGTGCATTCTTAGTGTCATATTATACTGTTACTGCCCATTTCTTGCACGCTTTTAAATAAATACTTTTCCATTCACTTTTGTACATAATTTAGCGAAAAGTATTTAGTTGAAATGTCGTATTCCTTAACTCTAAGAATTACAACTCAATTTGGACATTAATCAGCCATTCTACTGAGTATGCATATATTTGGGCTGGTAAGATACTTAATATTTGGATATTTTCTTAAATTTGTGATATTTTATTAAGGAAAACTGGTTAGGACTTTTATTTACTATATATATATATTTTGTGGTAGGCGAGATTTTGGAAAATGTTCTGACTTATGGACCGTCCAGAGCTGCTGGCTGTTCTGGCGGTGCATGAGTTTTTCGTCACCTCCGAGGTAAAATAAAAACTATATATATAAAGGTATTTTACTTTTTGCTTGTTGATAATCATATCGTGTCGCCTATTTTAGATATTTGATTATGTTTTGTTTCAATATTTTATCTACTAAGATAATTTTGCAAAACTTATTTTATTACTATTATTGCTATTAATATTACTATGTACATTGTGTGGAAATTCCTCCGATTTGTTTCAATCATTATATCGCCCCTAATAGTGTGTAAAATGTTGCATTTTGTTATTACAAACATGTTATATAAAAACGTATTTTTATTCTTCTCCAGTTTAGTGGCGGACGGCTTTTTGTATGTGCATTTAAAAAATAAGTGAAAACTCGGAAAATACGAGTATTCAAATCATGTGTCCGCTGGCCAGAATCCTGCTCCTTTTCTCGTCTTATATGAAATCTTATCGGGATTTGATGTTTTGTGAACATTTATTCGTATGGCAAATTGGCTATAGCAATTCATTTGGTGCCAACCAAAAAAAAATTTTCAAAAAACTTTCCTAATTTTTAAAACGCGGAAGTAGTAAATCTTCTTATGTACATTTTGTAACACATCCTACGTTAAATTTGGAATTCTGTCAATTAGAGTACGATAAAGCGACTTCAAAGTAACCAAAATCTGTTCCTGAAAAGCATATTTGTGTTGATAGATACAGGAGAACGGAAGATACAAAAAAGCTATGGTGGCCTGTAGGCGAATACATAGATATCAATCTGTAGAATTGTATAACGGAGTGCAATAGGCATGGATGACTTAGTGAATTTTCAGGAGTTGGTGCAGTGATCCCGAAATTGCTTGGAGCGCCAAACCAACGCACCGGCACAGTAACTCACCGGTGCAGTTGCGTTACAGTCACCCATTTGGTAAAACGTTATTCATTAAGAATGTGGTGAGTTTTTTTAGGTGTTAAAATAAAGCCCCGGGCCTCGAAAACGTAAAGCTTTAATCCGCCCCTGAGTTAAATGCCTGCGACACAGTGAGGCGCGATGAGTTAAACGAAAAATTACATGTTCAGAGTTGTGCGTTTAGTAACAGTGTACCTACTCTAAATGTCGTCAAATTTTCGAACTTCACTCGTCGTTAAGAAAATGTTTGCAGGATTTTAAAAAACTGTTGCGGGACTCATTTTGAATTAAGGTTAGTAACAGTGTGCTCTAAATGTCGTCAAAATTTCTTCAAGCCTTCAAATCATATGAAATTCTGAATTTTGCGAGCTTCGTAAATGTTGACTTGAAAATGAACACTTTTACGCTACTGTAGATTCTCCAGTAAATAAAATATGAAATTTTAGCGTAAACTTGCACCTAAATGCCTGATATTCGAATTTAGCGTGCCTTTATAACATGTTGTTATAAATACGTGACATGTTATAAATGAGTCGAATCACCAATTCTCTATCCAATGATATCAAAAAAGGCGATGTCATGTTTCAGTGTATTTTGCAAATAAAAAAAACGGGCAAAACTAAAACTCATGGCATTTTTAACAAGAAACATAAATCTAATAAATTATAATCAAAATAATGACAAACTTACAGCAAGCTGCATTGTGCCACCTGGAAAGAAAGACGAACATGTATTTAGTACAGTAAGAAATTTGTTCAAAGCCAAGGCTATTTAAAATCAGCAAAGCAAAGAGAAAGAAACATAACGACTCCAAAAAATTTCAGTTGCTTGTCGGAAAACTAAACTCAGTTCAAACTAAAAGATATATAGATTAGAGATCATCCTTACCAGCTTTCTGTAAGCTGGTGCCCCATCCTCCATTTTGTACTCATTAATCATCAAATAGTTCACTACACTTTCACACTACATACAATGAAAATCCACTTCGAATATACAACTTTAATTCAGCAGTTACCAGGTGGGATATGGGGTACAATAATTTTATATTTTCCATTTAAGAACGTGATTCACACGACACGAAAGGACTATGGACCGATGTCTGTAGCAAACTACATTCATACATGTTTTCGAAAAAAAAAACTACATAATAAAGACGATTATATCATGATATATCATGTGCTTGTTCGCCCTTTCGATGATGCATTGCTCTGCTCTTGCTTGACTTGCTTCGCTCTTGCTTGGCAGTTCGTTTTTAATTTATTTATTGTTGACATATCTGTAGAAAGTGTCTGTTCGCATTGCAATATTTCAATAGGCATATTTCATGTTCTAACTTAATTGTACAATTTAGTAAAAATGTATGTTTTATGACCATAGGGCAAAACTCAGATATTAGAATCCGTCGAAGTTAAAGATATAATTTTTGCAGATATCTCAAGATTTATATTAAGGCGACAAGTAAATCAACAAATCTGTCAGTATTGGGCAAAAAAACCCGCTGAAGCACCACTACATTAGCTTATATTGCGTAATGATGAAGTGACAGCCCAACAGGTCTCTAGATTTTTGTGGGATCATCTCAGAACCGCTGAAACAAAATTAAACATTACTTGACTACAACTAAAATCTGGAATTAAAGAAAGCAATAATTACTAACATGAATCATCATGTTAGTCATATCATTTTAGATTTTGTCAGGCACGAGAAAGGTTTCAATGTTTATATTATAATTATGTTATCATCACGGTTTTATCACAAAGAAGAAATTGCGAAAAAAATCTCACTGAAGTTTGTTATTAAAAAATGCGCATCTAAATACAATGATTTTTGTGTCCAAGAATTTTTCTCCTGGAAAAGTTCAGTCGATGCAATGAAGCGTGCAAGATACATTCTGAGTTTACTGTTCTAGAAATAAACGTAGGAAGAGACAGCTCAAAATCATCTTTATATCAAGAAAGAAAAACAGAAATCAATATTCCGGCATAATAGATCAGGCAATGAAAATAATCTTTATTGAAAATAATTTCTACCCAATCACGAATATATCAATAAATTATCGCAAACTCAATTTTAATCTCGTCATATTTTTGTTGATAGCTGAAAATAATACAAGTTTGTTTCTACGAAATATATCCATAAAACTCAGCTAAATCTACAAATTCCTAGCGTTTTTCCCAAAGTCGCAACAATTCTGCATTGATATATGCAAACGGAAAAACCGCTGAACCGCTACCGAAAATGTAGGATTTTCTCATTTCATTCATTTCTTCAACTGTAAAAGTTGTCCGATCAAGGCTCTGAATAATGTCTAGATATTTTAGACTCGCCAACCAAAACATTGATGGATAACCAAAGTTGTACTGTAGCACGTTCCATAGTAAATGCCAATTTATGAAAACTCTCAGATGTACATAACGTGTATTTGTAAATCGTCACCCTGTATATTTAACACGTTTTATTGCCCACATATTTAAATTTGCCAAATATTTGGCAATGTTTACCGAATGCCGTGTTCATCTATAATTCAAGAAGCAATTAAACTTTCGATTGGCAGACACAAAAGTTTTGCCAAATCCCTTGACACTAATAGCTAAAGACAGTAGAAGCTTTTAGATTAACTAGGTCAAAGCCGAATTTTTTAATATTTGTGCCGAATTTTTATGTTTGTTTCTGTCGAAATGTTGGTTAAAAGATGTTTAAATTTGGATTTAAAATTTTCGACAAAAGTGCTTATTCTAATCAGGCATTCAAGCATTTTATATTTCAGTTTAAACATGAAACCCATAGACAATATTAGCAAAAATCATGGATTTTATGCAACATTATTTGATCATGTATTTACATAATTAAACTATTGTTTTAATTAATTTTTTATAGCTTAGATCCTCTAAAATTATGGAATTTGGCAGAGAGAATTATGATAAAATGATTGGATATATTTTACCGACAACAAACAACGGTACATTTTATAGTTTAATCTTCAGGGTCTCTAAAAGCGGCCTTTTTGGTCTTGGTCGCTTTTAGCTTTAAACGGACTATATGTACTAGTATAAGTATTCTACAGCATACCCACATTTTTCGGGACACTGTGTATAGTCGGTTAATTTGGTTAATTTATAGTCATTTTTAAGGCAAATGTTTGACAACTATGAAGCCATAAGCTTTCATTATGCAAAACAAGTTCTAAGAACTGCCTATTTGTGCTGAAGGATTTTAAAATAATTAATTTGAGTAACAATGCTCTAATATTGCTTTTTTCAAAATCGGATACATTCATCGGTTTTCAAAATATGGAATAAAAAAGAAATTTCACATTTCAGTTTTTGTCAAAAATCCCAACATGGACAAAAAATATTCCGACGTTTCTTGGAATATTAAATATTACTCCCGTAAATAGTGAACTTGGCAGTAATTATTAACCGACATGCCCATGTTTTTATTACCATACCCATATACAAACTTTAAAAAGCACACATGTGCTGACTCGAAAACCTATATATAAGTTACATCTGGTTAACTCGAAATAAAATAATATTCATTATTAACATGTTTCTCGTAAGTAACTTTAAAATTATACAAAATTCATACGGAAAATGCGCTTGAAACATTTGATTTGAAAAAGCGTATACCCGACTTTCTGTTACCTGACGCCGCCTTGTTTAGTTCCAATTTGGAATAATACAGCCACTATTTGATCAACATTAATGACAGAAAATACTTATTCTATTTACGTTTTTTATTCTATTAACGTTACGTATTTTGCGATTGGCAATATTTCAAGAGAAATTCTTCAGTGCTTAAATTACTGATATGACCTGACAAGGAGGATAGCTCTGCAATAATTCAATATTTTATTATTTAAATTATTTAATAAAATTGAAAAATATATGACAAAAAGAAGATTATGTCTGTCTACTTTATTACAAACTGGAACCCAGATCCTATATCAATATCATGTAAATTTTATAGCAATTTAATATCAGACATATGCAAAATTATGTTTACGATCTGATATCATACGTTCCTGATAAGTATATCTTCATTTGCAGTGAAGTCAGCCAGTCGGCTAAGATCAAAGTCAGTAATTGCGATGCTAATCGAGATCTTGTCAATGTTAACAGCGAATAGCTAGATATATCATCCAAAAACTATGAACCATTCCGGCTAATGGGCTGCAGATATTAAGTATCCATTGCAGATTCATATACGGGATGCTTGAGAGCTAAGTTAAGGAAGTAGTGTGCTTCGAAGTGTCCTTTCGAAGCCCAATAAAAAAATAACTTTTATATACAAGTATGTTTATGAAAAGGCGAGTATTGAAGAAAATAGGTACTATATTATACAGGGACTCACAACCTTATGGGCACAGAGCAGGGGCGTGTTGCGGAGCTCAAAACAAGTCGAGATTCCATTTAAGGGTTTTTTTTCTCAGGCCCATGGTTAACGAGACACAGGGTGTTAAAGTTTAAAGAAAATATTGGTATTTTCTATTTAACTCCTACGGTTTACGAGATATTTTGTTCAAATTTTGAACGTAGGCTACTGTTTAGACTGTTTAGCCGCCGGTACGTCAACTGGTTGTGCTAATCTACAGGGTTTTTTTTTCTAGAGGCATACTCCCCTTTTACCCTTCGCACCTTTTTGTAGTGCATTTCTGACTTCAACCGAACAAATGTTTGAATTTGTTGTTCAATTTAGGGATTTTTGTCTATTGCAGTTTTTTCGTATCCCCTTCGTTCTCGAGTTATTTGCACAAACATTTGCGAAAACAAAATCCATGTAGGGCTTCTAGGTGATTTTCCATAAATGTTCTTATAATTTTTTTGTGTTCTTTTGTTCAGTTCAAAAATTCACAAAAATGTAATGAATATTTCAATTTAATTTTCATAAAATTAATTTCATCAAAATTAAATAAGTTTAAATTATTTAATTTTAATTTAAGGGGCCGTTCAAACTGTCAACTTTATCCAATAATTGAATGTACTTTTTCATAATGGTACATTTATTACTGATAAGACTCCATAAATATTCATTAGATTCAACTAACGTTGAATATAAAAATTCTTTTAAAGTCCCCCACAGAAAAAATCACACTCATATTATTCAAATCTGGCGATCGCGGGCAATTATTTCCGCGACCTACCCATCGATTTGAAAACTGCAGATTAAAAAATTTACACAATGGCAAGTCACAATGGTAAAGGCAAGTCTGCAAGAAGCTCTGGAAAGGTGTAAGAAAAGCAAATAACTTGCACCGTTCAAACGATTAGGTCAAATAACTGGCCCAACCAAGTATCGCCCAACGATTCCGGCCCACATATTAATTTAAACTTATCTTTGGTAATGATGGGTTATTGTAATATGTTAATTTTGAACGGAATACTCGTGGCTGTTGTGTAGATTTGTAGTTCCCCCGCGCAGGCTTCATCAGTGAAAAGGATACTTCTGTGAAAACAAACGTTCTGCTTTAAAATTAAATGACAAAAAATCATCCTTGGCTCAAAGTCTTGCGGTAACCCTTCTTGAACTTTTTGAAAATTATATGGGTGCAGCATATTATAATATGCGTATATGTATACGTCGTATAAGTCGATGATCCGTGGACTAGTATGTGGTATGTTAAATTGTCTGGATAGTTCGGGTACTGGTTTGGGATTCATTTCCAATGTGGCGTAAAATTTGCTCCTTATTTCTTTCGTTCACTGCGTAAATGCGTCGTCCGTTATTGCGTTGGCAAAGAGAACCCGTCTCTCGAGTTTTCCGTTGAACATTAGCAAACGTTTGCCGATTTGGAATCACACGATTTGGAAATCTCCTTCGGTACTCCAGCACACTTCTTTGGCAGTTACTCTCACAAAACCCCAATACTAATGCATATCAAGTTGCTCATTGAATGAAAAATGTCCAGCCATTTTTATTAAAAACAGCTTGGTTTTGTCAGATTTGAGTACCAAATCTCCAGCAAAAAGCAGCCTACTATGATACAAAAAAGAACTCGAAAACGAAAAGGGGGCGTGACCCCTTTTAAAAAAAGCACCCTGTAGATTTTCGCAAACAGTTAACTTACTCGTAGGTAGAGAGTCTAAACAGTCGCCGACGTAAAAAATTGGTAGAAGTTAAAGGGAAAATACCAATATTTTTTTAAAATCTAATACCCTGTCTCGTTAACCATGGGCCTGAGGAAAACAACTTAAATGGCACTCGACTTGTTATGAAGAACTTTAAACATAGGTTTGTGTCATGTAGCCAAAATAATAAAGCAGAATTAAATATTACTTAATCAGTCTAACTTTTCTGATGTAAATTTTCTCACATTCTTTGAAACTTTTATTAATTGATTTTATACTACATCTCACCGAGGCCTCCGACATAGTGAGGTCTGCAACAATAGCCCCCGTAGATCTTACATCATCATCATACATTTGTACCAACAACGGATCAAGTCATGCTCCTTTATAAACTATCGACGAAATAAATCTTGGACTTGGAAAACCTGGACGCATTAATCCAAAAATCACCTCACTTCAATCATTGAAATCACTATATGTATTCATTTGAGCTGTTTCTAAACAAGAGACCAAGTTCTAATTTTTTACCTTCACCGGCTTAGCTCACTTGGGCCCATTTTCATCAAGCGATCTTAAACCAGTTTAACGTCTGAAACTCAATTTGACGCGCGAAACGGATTTCACCAGAACCTTAAACTTAGTTTGTGCTTAAACGCGTTTAAAGAAACGAACTGGCAGATTTTGGGCGTTTATAGCTTTAAACGCCGTTTAAAGACTTGATCTAACCTCACTGTGTAAAGAATTGTTGCTGTCGGTCGACCGAAAAATAATAAAATAGAAATGGCACGTAGGCCAGTTTATAACTTAATTTTCGAAGAAGTCTACGAATATTTTAATGCCACTTATGTACTTTGCCTGTCCTGTCTGTAATTGTGTCGCCGATAAGCCAACTTCTCGGTGCTTCGCGGTTTTATGCCACAGAATGCATGCAAACTTCTGCTAGAGATTTTAAGGGTTTCAGCACAACTACATCACATCCAATTGTACACGGGGTGAGCTCCGCGATAGAGCTGGTGTTCTGGGTTTTGTGAGATTCCAGCCAAGATGTTTACCCAGTAAAATCCTTCCTGACTCCTCCGCTTGCCTTGTTTATTCAATGAATTTTATAAGGATCTGAAAGGGCGTCCGCAGGACTTAATTTTCTACTTGTTTAAGTAATTTTTCAAATAGAAAATCTAATAAAAACGTGTATACCAGTCATAAGCCATACACGAATGCACAAACCGTGCATAAACAAAGCAAACTTTAAATGTTTACGGTTAGTTCGAGCAGAAAGTTTGGGTTTGATAACGGGTTATTGACGTCATGGACCCAAATGGTTCTTTGATAAGATGATTTTGCGATGAGAATCGTAATAGTTCTCACTTTTGCAACGATGCCAGTGTTTCCAGTTTCTTAAACTGCGTTTCAATAAACGCAGTTTGTGAAACGGAGCGAAACGCTGGTGAAAACGGTCCGTCGTTAAACGCGTTTAATTTCGGCGTTTACATAAACTTAGTTTCGTCAAACTGCGTTTCGCTTGTTTCTGATGAAAATGGGCCATGAAGGAAATAAATCTAAACTTCTTTAATATGCGAAAAATTACATGCAAGGAAAAGTTAGTTTCTCTATGCAAATATCTAACTGATTTATTAGGAAATGCTGCCAAACATGAGAAAACGTCCTATTCAGTATGTTTGTTGATGATATTAATTTCCTTTGCCCTGAAGATATTTAAAATCACTAAAATGTTTGTTTTAGCCAAACAATAAATAAACAGTTGAATGGTTTGAGCATTAGCATTTATTTATGTGCAAATGTACCTACTTTGCAATCGTAACTGCTAAATATCGAGTTCAAATTACATTGATAAATGTCTGGTAATATGGACAGAATTATTTCCTCAGGTGCTAATTCATGACTTATCTAGAAAGCAATGTTATAAAACAGATATCAGGTAGTCCCTACTTTGTTCTACAGATTCGACCATTTACTAGCTTTGCGAATCGACGCTTCTTTAGCAGTTTAAAAGAACTATTATTTAGCATACTTTTCAATGTTCAGCACCTGTATGCGTAAGAAAATGTCAATATCAGTTGAAAAAAACATTTTGAAAATATCAATTGGATGAAACAGGGCTTTCTCATAGAACATTCTCTCTAATTTAAAGCCCTTTCCTCGCCCACTGCATAAATGCAACTCGTTTTTTCAACACTGGCCCCGTTTACATGCGGTATGCAATGACTATCCAACATCTAACGAACTAAATAATTTCATTAAATATGAAAGATATAAAGAAGTAAAAAGAACCATTTGGCAAAACCATTCTAACCTGCACTTGTATTTTTATGTGAAACTTAAAGATTCATTCAGTTATCGATAAACATTGTAGAAAATTTAACACAACTTTAAAAAAACATTCGAAATGCGTGTGTGCATTTTAATCACATTTTTTCTGTTACATTGTTTGTCAGTTTGTTTAAAGACAAATGTTTCTTTTTAAATATTATATTACAAAAAAGAAAAGGTGTCGTTCCATTTCACCATATTTATGGTACTTTATACCAGCAACTTGTTTGCTTTCAGTTTCAGAAAACCAACCATACAACAAAACTTTTAACAAACTCTCGAAGCTATCTAGCTACATACTCCGTTAAAAAATAAATTTATTCCTAACTATAATAAATTGTAATTTATGAGACCTCTGGCAAAAAACGACCAAAAAATAGTTGTTGTTGACAACAACGAACACACGGAAAAGAAACAATATACGGACACAAATACAGAAAAATGTCAAGCGAACTAAGTTTTCTCATATGAACACATATATATTTGAATCTGCAAATATGATCTTCATTTGCGATTTCTGCCATGGTTGGTGCAATAGAGAAGTATGGACGTGGGTTTCCACATGGAAAAGTTTCAATTTTCTAACAACCAAACGATTCAAACTGTTTTTAAATCCGCTGACGAAACTGAGAATGATTGGAAATGCAAGTATTCTTTCTGGCTTTGAAACGTAAAGGAGAGATAAGAACCAGGCATCGCAATAGCCATCTTGTGTGGTTGACGGTCCCCCATGGGTCGCCTCCCCAGGTGGCGGGTTGGGGGAATGCTTCCCAGATATGGGTGGTACCGAGGAAATGTAATACTCGGGGCGGACGAAAAGCTGATGGACTTTCAGAGACAGATTAGTATGGAGGAGCGTGAGAGAGGCCTATGTCCAGGAGTAGACGATAGAGGGCTGACTAAGAAGAAGATATCGCAATCCGTTTTCAAGTTTTACAAGCAATGGTTTAGAGGCAACAATTCTTGCATGTCCAACGAACATACAATCCCCAGGAACGCTGTTTTTCCTTAAATTTACAATGTTTTCAGTTAATTCGTGGAAGGAAACAAACGTACGTTTGAACATATTTATTTCAGACAAGTTTTACATACTTCTTACTGCTACTTATTCTACGGATCCTTAATGCTAACATCTTGTTGTTTAAAATGACATCATATGACTTAATCTAACTTATTCTAACCTAAACCTAAACATTAATACGTCCTCTAGTGCTTCCTAAGCTAACTTAAATCTTGCCCATGGTCCTCGTTGTGGTGCAGGAACTGGTCATCGCTTGTGGTCCACGTCTGCTTCTTAGACTGTGTCCGCAGGGAGAGGTCTGCGGTCACAGTTGAACTTCTTGGTGCAAGAAACCCTGACGGTAGGATTCTTGCTGTGCCGGATCCTATCCAGGAACCCTGACGTTAGGTTCCGGATGTGGTCCAGAAGGTCCTCTGTATCCAGGTCTCTTTGCAGGGTGGTATTTCGGACGAAGTATGGGGCCTTTGTCACTATCCTCAGTATTTTATTCTGGAATACTGCCAGTTTATGCTTTTGCGAGGTGCTGGTGGTGGTGGACCACGCAGGAGATTCATAGGTCAGCACCGGGCGTATCAATTGCTTGTAAACTCTGGCCTTAGTTCGTAGGCAGAGTTTACCTGACAGCAGAGGATAGCAGGCATGGAGCAGGA